ACACAAATTTAAAATTTTGTTAGAAAATACCTTTCTAAGAGTTGTTCTAACCTTTTATCAACCCTTCCTCAGCCCTTTTCTTAATATTTTGCCAATGTGAGGTATCATCAGTTATTATTATCAATATAAAATTGGTATCTCACTGTTTTCATTTCTATCTCCCTGATCCCTTGTTAGGTTGAGCGTATCTTTCATATGTTTACTAGGCACTTGGTTTTCTTCTTCTGTGAGTTTCCTTTATATATATATTTGCTTATTTCCCCCCCTGTGGAATTTTTTCTCTTATTTATTTCAAGGAGCTCTTTGTATGTCAAGGATATTAACAATTATATGTGGCAAATGTGTTCTCAATTCCAATTACCTTTAGAATTTATTGGGCGCCTATGAAGTCCTCTCCATTTCTTGTTTGTGCATTACTCATTCTCTTTGTTGTCTTCTTCCTTTCTATTTGCCCCTTTGAATAGTTTGCTTCCTGCCTTATTTGGTTCATTGCTAAACTAGAAGAGAGTGAGGGGGATGGAATTAAATATTTGAATAAAAACCCATTGCCATCAAGTCGATTCCAACTCACAGCCACCCTATAGGACAGAGTAGAACTGCCCTATAGGGTTTCCAAGGAGCAGCTGGTGGATTCGAACTGACGACTTTCTGGTTAGCAACCAAACGCTTAACCACTGTGCCACCAGGGTCCCAAAAATATCTGAATAGTTCCCAAGAAAACTTCAGTTTACTTAGAAAGAATGTGAAAACTCGTCTTTAAAATGTGTATGGAAGATTTTGTGGGTATTTCCTGTGTCTCAATTTTTTATAAAGTAACTTTTCCTTCAGAACCATGAAAAGCTACTTGCTAACCCTGGTGGCGTTGTGGTTAAAGAGTGGGGCTGCTAACCAAAAGGTCAGCAGTTCGAATTCTCCATCCCCTCCTTGGAAACCCTATGGGGCAGTTCTACTCTGTCCTGTATGAGTAGGGTTGCTATGAGTCAAAATTGATTTTATGGCAATGGGTTATATATCTTAAGGAAAACAAAACTAACTGGCTAATGAAATGTGTATGATACGGTTAGTCATTTGAATGCCCCAATGATCAAATATTTAGATAACTCGCCACTATTTTATTTTTTAATCCCGATAACTGGCATTGTATATACATGGATTTTTAATGAATTGGGACAGAAATATTAGCATATCTGGAAGCTGAAAAAAGGAATGAGTGACTACAGAGCAAGAATTTGAAATTAATATTAGTTCACATTCAACAATAAATAATAGGAATTCTTTGGATTTATATATACATATAATATGTATGTTATAATTAGTAATATATATATAGCCAGATCACATCAGTCAAATGTATGGTCCGTTTGCAAATATCTGAAATATTTATATAACACCCCAAATTGGAAAGTTTTTTCTAAGCAGATTCTGTGCTAATTTATTGTTTTCAAACTACAAAACCAAATAAACTAAAGAGTGCTCACTAATCCGCATGCAGAGGCTAAAAGGGCAACGTAACACAATCTTGGGGAAAGAAAAACAATCTGGAAGTGCTATATTTTTCAGAAAGGCATTTGGATTACTAGCTCTTGCAGATTCATAGAGGGAGCAGTAAATATTTAATCATATTTTTAAAGAAAATAAATTCCTATGTCAATTCCCCCAATCCTTCCCAAATAAAAAAAGTTACCATTATCTTTATGATTTGTATGTTATATAGGCTCTGCCCAACCATTTGCATCTTTACTTAATGTTGTTATTTTATTTAGACTAATTGACACTCTTACTTGGTGCTAAACTAATTTTAAGAAACATAGAGTACATTTTATGGTTTGTCTGTATTATTCATAACCATTGTAAATCCTGCTGAAGATAATCATTGACACCAAGAAATTTAAAATTCTCTTTTTACATCATTAGAGAAAAGTTCTAGAAGCATCATGTCCTTAAATTTATTTTTACAAATTATATTTTTAAGAATAAAGAGAGGCTGCCATTGTTCTATTAAGGAACAATTAACTTGCACTTTATATATGTTTTAAAATAACTATTTCTAAAGATAATTGTTGTGTTTTCATTGGTGAACTACTGCTTTCTGGAAAAACTATGCATATATCTTTTGCTTCCTCGTTTTGTTTGCTCTTAAATAATCTCAGAACAAGGATTTTGATATTTGCTGACTATTGAGTCTTAAGGTTAGGTATGGCAAGTTCTATAGCATTATACTTTCAATTCTCCTTGCTCTTAGAAAGTTAAAATTCAGGAAGGTAGAAAAATCAACCTTGGTATACAAAAGGAAACTATTTGCCAGCCAAGATAATCAAAATTTATGCAAATAGAAAATTCTTTACCTGCCCAAATCATCAATATTTAAAATAGTTTTAGAAAATATTCTATTTGCAAATTAAAATACATTGCCCCTATCTTGAATCCATAGGATAGAGTTTTTTTTAATCTAAGAAAACAGTAGCATACTTTAAGAAAAAATAGTTTACGCTATAACGGACAAACTAATCTCATATAGAATAAGAGCCTCTCACATGTTGGAAATATAAATTATACTCTGTCATAACTGACGTCTATTTTTTCCCCTACCTCTTCTACACGATCATCATTTGTCTCTGGTTTCTGTGTTAGGCTTAGAATGACAGCAAGCAAGACATGGGCTCAGTCTATTTTCTCAATAACGACACTAGTACCACTGGTGGCTGTCTTCTGTGGCCCTTGATATGCTCTACTTTGACGAGATTATTCTTTACTTTTTGGGCACAAAGAGGCGTTTACATAAAATAAGGTAACATCTCATAATGTTGTATCACAATTAGAGTTGATCTTATCACTAACTCTAATTCAAGTTCCTTTCACTTATTCAAAATAGAAAAAAAAACTTTTTGTGGAAGTGGCAAGAGGGAACAGAAGTGTCTTTATGCAGTGCTTCATACACAAAAAATCAGAAAAATTAAGTTGCATACCATGTGCCCTCAATTTATGTTCAGTACGGATACCAATCAATTACTAATTAACAATTAAAGTCTATTTGTTAGAAATTTTTGTACAAAGAGGGCTTCATTTGAAGACATATTTCTTCTTCAGCATGTGATACAGAGAAATAAGATCATCTTTGGTGACATCAAGTTGAGTGGGACTAGTTTGTAGTTGCTGGTTTAACATTCAACTTAGACATTAACTTTCGATATATTAAAAGCTTTGATTTGGTGTAGCTTGGATGATGTGGTAGATGCATGCGTAAAACCTATATTCTAAAAATATGGCCTAGTATTCTCTAATGCTCTGAGTATGCTGAGTGTGTCTAGACAAGAGTTTTTAACTGTAAGCACATTTGTGTTTATCCTAAAATTAAGGCAAAGCTAATCAGGGGCACCTAGGAAAGAAAGGATCCTCAAAGACCCATTTAGACAGTCACTTCTAGAAAAAAACCAGTCTTCACTCAAAGACTTGTCAATCCTATTTTTAAAGATTGATTAGGTTGCCAATTTTTTTCCTTCCTCTATCCTTGGAGAAAATGAAAAATAACAGGTTCTCTTCCATTTTAGACTAACCATTCATATGCTTTATGACAGTTAGCTCTCCCCTGAGCATTCTCTTCTCCAGGACAAATTATGCTAACTCCTTCACTAAGTCCTCATAGGTCCTATTTTTCAACCATTAAATCATCTTTTCGTTCTTTCCCGTATCTTTTCCAATTTCTTCACAATGCTTTTAAATATCTAAAGTCTCAAATTCGATATCTTTGCATATAATAGATGGGTTAAAACTGCAGAAAAAAAAATTATTTCCACCCTCTAATTACAGAGATGCTCACGCTGATAGAGAAGGTCAGCTAAATTAGGGGGAAAAGTGGTGTTAAGAAGAAACAGAAGCCAGATGAAAAATTTAATATTCAACTCAATGGATTTATATGACGAGAAATAGTAAAAAGTGTGCCTGGAAAAATGCCATGCAGTTCTGTGTAAGTCTTTTGGGAAGAAACCAAGACACAAAATTTATTATAAAAACAACCAGAACTGTTTTTGTTTTATCATTAACTAAATATCCTGATAACTGCTTTTTTACTACTTAACCTTCTGCCAAAGAAAAGATTAGTAGATGAACTAACATAATGGCAAATTCAGAACAAAATGTGTGATGGGGGAATGAGCATTGCTAATTTAAGAAAACCGATAGGGATTCAGTGTTAATTAAGAGCTAAAACCACTTTTTCAAGCAGATATTAATGCATTTGTGGAGCGTTGCCTAGTGAAGCTTTATTTTTTTCTCATTTTTGGTACAATGGTCACTATGTAGTGTGTACTCTTGGTGATGCTGGTATGCTGTCCGGGGTTCAGGCATTGCATTGTCTTCTCTGCAACATCACCTTGATATTGGGTAATTAAGATACTGTAGCCATTTCAAACTGTCCATTGCATGAGACTCAAAAAAGGAAACCATCACCTCATAAAACAAATTCCTCTCTGTAGCAATTACTGTTCTACTGTAATAAAAATCTAGAATAAAAGCCTTAAACTTCTTTCTTACTTCAACTTAAGGGCATTCATAGTTGAATTTTCTACTTCGTTGATGACTTAACTTTAAACCTAAAGTCTTATCCACTCCCAAAGCAAAATACTTGGCATTCACCCTACTCCCTCTCCTAGGTTATGCACTGTGAAACGAGGCGAACTGCTTCATAACCTACAGGAGAGGGGCAATGCAATCACTACAAAAGGATGGTACCATATTCTTTCCAATAGCCGCCTTATAAATCAACGATTAATAACAGGGATCACAACAAAATCAGCTTACAAGAGCTTTAATTCCCCCGATGGAAAGATGCACGACTCACTCATTGCTGGTTTATTTTCACTTTAAGGTGGCAGAAAAATATAAATTGACCATGCCCATATTCAAAAGCCACAGGCAGATCTTAGAGGGTTCTTGCATTGAATGGTGATATATTAGTATTTTGCACTAACCCCTCTTTGAAAGCTAATGCAGTATGATCTTACCATTTTTGCAGACAGGACAACATTGTTCTGGTTCATAGACTGGGTTGACACACTCAGGAACTGCGCAGTCTGCTACAACACAGTGAACTTCATTGCTGGGCTCACAGCGACACCATTCACATGGAGAGGGCTAGGAACAAATCTAAAATTAGCCCCTTTTCTCCACTTAATGGTTGCACATTCATATGCTGTCAGAAGGCAAAACATCAGTGTTTATATTGGCTTTACTGCATTAACTCCATTTACCATGTGTATGACCATTCTCCCCCAATGGAAGACAACCTAAATATCCAAGCCAATGCAGGCTGCCATGTGCAGCTCAGGTTGCCGTGAGCAGTTAGAGTAACTGGTCATGACTTTTCCTATGTCTATATTCCTCCTTCCCAGAGAAGTGTTTGGACAGCTGATATGTTATCTCCTGGTTTGCTTTCCAGATGTACTGATTGTTATGCCTTCTTCAGGTAAACAGGAATGGTTCTGGAACATGTAAAATGAGTTTTTGCCATTTATCATTCTACTTCTTAAGAAAGAGTAGGATTACTGAGAAATAAGAAAATGGCAGCCTGACAGCCTTATCCTTTGTATGAGCTCTTTTTCAAGCCAACCTAGACTCTAAGTGGCATTTTTTCAATGTGAATTTTAGAGACGACTGCATTTGGGATCTGAACATTTAGGTGCTGCCTTTGAAAGATTTTGTGAATATCTTTCATCTTGCCTGCTTGCTTTTATAAAGAACTAAAATTGATTGACTTAAAAAGCCACTTTTTAAGAGTCAAAGAATCTAAAAATGGAATGCAAAGGTGATTAAAATGAAGAGAAAACAACCCCTAAAAATTAGGAAACAATTTTTGTCTTCACAGTACTTACCGAACAAGGGTGAGTTTGGGATTTTCTGTTTCCTTTCTAGAAACAGCCTATACCACAAATAATCTAAAGTGGTCCCTCCATGACCTTCTCATCCTTTAGAAGTTCTAGCTCTCCTTTCTTATGAATCAGAAGTTTAGAATTCTTTGAGGTCTCAGAAGTTATACAGTGTCCATACTTACCAAATTAAGGCATTTGTTCTCAGGAAACTCTGCCTCCAACTCTATGTCACAGCACCTCACCTCCAAATGTGTTAATTAGAGCACTCTTCCCCTGTCTCAGTGGCTACTGTCATAATTCCTGTCAGCTCTTGTTACTTCCTGACTCTGGAAATTTGGGTGATATTAATGCTCCTTGACTCAGGTAGTCTGTGGGGGCGGAAATCTTTCGATTATTTAGTATTTTATTTCATCTTTGTTTTCTGCTTGAAGAATGATCGCCTAACTTTCAATTAATTATTTTACTTTCAAATTTAGCAGGAACCAGAGGATTAGCTATAGAATCTATAGGAAAAGTTTTACCATTTCTTAACATGATCGATAAGCTCATTGAAATGTACGGGTAAGCTTTTTATTATGTGGTGAGTTGTGTTCAAGCACTTCAGAGGAATCTATTGCATCTTCCCAATGACTGGGATTTGTCTGAAGCTCTTCTACCAAATAATCTGGTAATTAATGAAAATATTTGATGCCACAGCACCTTATTTAATGGAGAAAATTTTAAATGAGGAAACATGTAACAGATGGAAACTTGCTACTACACTGTTTCTTAACTTGCAGGGCCAAGTGAGATGTTTTAGATTCCCAAGCAAAATTGTTCAAGGTGTCTCTTTTCCCTTGGTTAATTGCAAAGAAGTTACACCAGCATTCGGCAGTGCAGTGAAGACTTGGACTGTGTTTATTGCCAATGTGAGAGAAAGAGGGAGCCACTGGTGTAATTTCTTCCATCTGCTGCCCTTCCACAGATGTGCTTGTTTGTTCTTGCTAGTTTACATCTTGCAGAAGGAAGGACAAATCAGTGCTGCTGGAGTGGACTAATTCTGGGATTAAAAATCCCGAAGAATCTCCAAATTTTCCATGCAAAATGCTTCCTTAGAAGTAACCATGGCATTTGAGGGAGATTAATTGAGATATTTGATTCCTAATACAAACTGATGAAGAACATTATTCTGACTTAAGCAATGTTTTTGAACATTATTAGCTACTAGGCGTTGTGCTGAGCAATTTACCTATATCAACTCACATATTTCTTATAATAACCCTATGAAGGAAGTATTGATATTATCCCCATCTCACAGTAGAGCAAATAGGCAGAGAGAGGTTAAATAGCTTGCCCAGGTTTATAGGCTGTAAGGGGCAGAGGCAGGATTTGAATTCAGGCAGCTTAACCACTAGACAATACTGCCACTTGATAGAAGAATCATCATTCCGTGGACCCTCAGCTGAGTAGTTTATTTGCCAATGCTTTATATACTTCCCTATGCAGACAAGATACCCAGAAATAACCATTGGCAACCAAATAATTAATTTATGGAGGATAGGTACTTTCTGCTAAGAAAGACAATTTCAATAACTATGCATTTTGTGTAAAAAAAAAAAAAAGACATTATTGTGGTTCCTTAGAGCTCTGTAACTTTCTGCAAATGTGAGTTAGTAGAAAATTACAGTAAGCTGGAGTTAGGTTGACATGAGCCTCATGTTCTTAAGTCTTTGGCATCCTCAAGCCTTGGAGCCTGGCATCTAGACTTGCAAGTATCTGTGAGGAACACTAACAGGCAACAGCCAGTAAAGAACTTGTAGTGTCTGTCCAAAACCCGTAGTGGCTAGATGTATGTGCGTAGGTCGGCATGTGAATCCTGAGAAACACTCAGGGGAAGGGTAAGACCCCAAGGCTAATGATAAAACTCTACCTGAGTTTTTGAAGGTATTTTGAGTAATAAGAAACATAAACCAGAAGAAAAAACAAAACCTAGTCTAGCCACTGGCGGTTTCTCAGCTTGCCCTAAACCTGGCTTTATTCACATACTTCATTCTCTTCCTTCTGAGCCTAGACTCTCTTATCAGAAGCATGACATTTTCTCTTTTGTTTTCAAATAATCTGTTTCTATTTAAGCTTATTTTTCTCATCTCAAGCCTCCATACACCCAACTCAAAAAACGCTCAAAAAAATTTTACCCATTGACCTCACGCTAGACACTGTCTGTCTCTTCTGGCTTACCAGTCCTCTTTCTTTAATAATCTTAACAGTTCTGACACCACTGTTGCTCAGTTGCCCAGTCTGACTTTCTCCACTGCCCCTGCTTTCCCCTGCATTTCTGAAGACATCACTTAGACATCAAGAAGTTCCTTACTGTGCGCAGTGTGCCACTTTGACATTGAGTTCAGACTTTAAACATCCTTCTGACCTCAGTGTAAAACTCTCTGACAGGTTTGGTGCTTTGAATAAATTTTTACATCTTAAGCACTGAGCTGGTTACACATCTCATTTTATCCACTCTCATCAATCTGAAAACTATAGTTTAAACCTGAAAACGTCCCCATAAAACCAAAGATTAAGAAATAAAGCTATCCTGAGAGGACCTGGAAAATACTGGAACAAGTACTTGGGAAAAAAATTATTCTTACTAGCTGTTGTTGGGGATCATGTGAAATTATGACTACACAGCTTTTGTCAGCTAGACATTGGGTAAGATGATTAGATGACACCATCCTCAAATTTTATACGCTAGAAATCATTTTCTAAGAATCTTCTCAGAATATTTTATTTTCATGAAAGCTTTGAAAAAATAAAATAACATTCACTACACATACCTTTTCATAAATTTTAATTGAAATTAAGATCAGAGGTCACCATTTATTTGTTAATGTATATATTAAATGAACTGAATATTACATGTCCATTATAAATGTTAAACCTTCAACATGGTAATTTTGAATATTTAATTTGGAGAACTATTTAAGAAGAGACAGTGCACTTTATCTGTAACTCCAGCCATTACCAAATACATGGTTTGTACGGAAAATTCATATGCTGTCCCAGCAGCCCCTAGATTGCTAAGGGATTTTCGTCTGGAGGTAGTTATTTCTACATTTTATGATTAATAGAGAAAAGAGAGCTATTTCTGAAATACTGGTTTGGGTGCCTAGAATCCAAATTTTCCTTCTGATATTAGAGCGGAAACGTGGCAATATACATCTGTTTGAAAGTGGTTAACTTCCAAAGACCTTAAAATTGAATTCCCAAAGTCACTGTGATTTTTGAGAATTGTTCCAGAATTGGAGGGGAGATGACAGAATCCTAGAGACAGTGGAATGTTCCATGGTTTTTTAAAATGGGCAAAGTGGCCTGAAAACTACTAAGTTACTAGAACAACGCCATAATTATTATCAAATATGTAGTCATCACTAAGTGTCAACAAAGATGGTTTGAACATGTTATTGTATGTCCCGTGTTTATAGAAAATACATTTGTTTTGTTTTTGAATACACTGAGACTTATTTATCCATACCAGAGGAAATCCTGGACATTTTGTTCATATAATAATACCTCAAGGCATCGTTAATTATGTGGAGGCTGTTACTGGCAGTGTTCGTAGAGTGCATAGGAGGAAACAATACTGCGTATAGGCAGTTCCAACCCACCAGCCGCTCCATGGAGGAAAGTCCTGGCGATCTGTTCCTATAAAGAGTACAGCCTCAAAAACCCTATGAGGCAGATCTGCACTGTCACATGGGGTCGCTAGGAGTCGGAATCGCCTCGACGGCACCCAACAACAACAACAAATAGTGCTTGTCATACAAATTTAAACCTCAAAGTGATAAGGGACATACCAATGTTTAAATATATTTTATGATTTTAATTTGATGAAGTTTAAAATAATTATTCTTACAAGCTCGGGAATTTGAAATTAGGAAAACTAGAAAAAAATATTTTATTTAGCTGGCTTCCCTTGGGCAACTTTGGCATGACGGTTGAAAGGAAGTGCTGTACAGCCACAGTGCTTGGTTCCAGTCTCAGATGTTTTATTTACTAGCTGCACAGCCTGGGGAAAACCACCTAACCTCTCTGTACCTTAGTTTCTTACTCCCTAAAGTGTGAATAACAGTAGTACCAACCTCATGGAGTTAATATGAGACACATGATAAGTATGCAAGCAATATTATTACAGCTTATTATTATTGAACACTTGCATACTTAAGGGATCCCTGGTTGCGTAGTGGTTAAGAGCTCATCTGCTAATCAAAAGTTCAGTGGTTCAAATCTACC